TGATGTTGTCAGTAACCGCCCGCCCCAGCCATTGTGCCCACTGCCTTTTAACAGACTTCCCCGCCGGAAAAAATCGCTTCATTTCTCCTAGTCTTCATAAGTTTTAATTATTAAAGATGTGAAAATAACTGCAGCGAGAGCTGAATTGCTTTACTTTCAGTATCCGTTGGACACCAATTGCACGTACTTTATCGAAGGTGAAGTCGGTCAACAGATCCTTATACATTTCGAGCAATTCGCGCTATATGTAGAGCAGGGAGGCGAACGGTAAGTGTTGACTATTGAATTTTTCTTATAATGTACTTCTTAAGAAACGTTCACTGAAGAACTTGTAACAGATATCAACAATGCATACCATGCGCTAAATTCCATGAAAAATTTACGACTAATATTTCATTTTTGCAAGCTAATGGAGGTCTCGCAGTGTTAAAGAATAATTCCCGGTTGTATATAGTAAATAGTGGTGTTTGATCGCTATAGCCGCTAAATGACTCTCCAAGAAAGGAGGAAGCCAAAAAAATCATGGAGAACACTCTAACGATAAATAAGGACCTAGAAGCCGCTCTGGACGAGTTCTCCGAACCTGCTCGTTTTATGCCAGCAAATCGATATTTTGCCTCCTATAGCTCACTGATCGTCTCTTCGCGTCATCCAGTGCTAAATTCGTCGAATAAAGAAAAAAAAACGGGAAATAGGATGTGAAAACTGAACTAGTAAGAGAAGATAGCCGCTGAATTTTGGTGGGCGGGACACTAGGGAGGCGTCATAACCGCCACGTATACAGGCCGCAGCGCCTTCGTACTCTCTGTAGAGCCGCGAAAGTAGGCTAATCTTTGATAGACAGAGAGGGCCAGATCACTTCTACAAGGGAGGACTGTACGAGGGCGGATTGCTTGAGCACGAGACTGCCTTCAAGCAGCGCCTTTCAGGTCACGCGCTGTCTTCGGGCCAAGTCTAGGATTGAATCCTATCTAGGTCTTGCGAGCTTTTAATCTGGTTGGTTTCCCCTCTGGTGTCTAACGGTTGACGATTGCTATACGCAAGTCATTTTATAGCCAAATTAGGCTCACAATACCCTGCTATCATAAATGAGAACAGAATGCGTGACGCCTATCAAAACGGGACTAATCAGAACCAAAAGCATTGTTCTTCTTTTTTTACAAATGCTCGCCAAACTTGTCGAAGTTGAGG